ACCCCTGAACCCCTGAACCCCTACACCCCTAAACCCAAAACCCAAAACCCAGGGTATCCCTTCTGGCTGGGATTTGTGGGGATCGTACCGGATCCGATTGATTCATCTGGGCTTGGGATTCATGGCCGCGCACACCGCGACCTGAACCTTACAGGCATTGCCTGGTACTTATCATAACAGTCATCATTATATTAGTGTCATTATTATTAATGGTTGTATTTAAAACGGCTCCTAGTATAGACATATCCACCGGCTCACATGCTGAAGGCGGACGCCTTGATCCCATGCTTACCCCATGCATTGGCTCAAGAGTTTTACAATGCAAGAAGATATCGTACGGAAATAATGTAGATCCTCGTGTTGCTCTTCTTTTTGGTAGCATAGATCGCACTAACATGAGCCTTCTGCTTGTTATGGCATGGCTACGCTGGCTACGCATTCCAAGCATGCAGTTACCATTGCGCGTTTGAACCTTAGGGTTTGACTTCTGCAGAAACCTGTCTGGGCAGGGGGCTTGTGAAGAGACTAAGTTACTAAGAGAGCCGAGTAATTATCGCTCAAGTGCGACAATGAAAAAGCCTTAATTAAATCCTAATGATTCCTAATGTTCCTTATACTCTCGATTGAAGCATATTCCGTACTTCACGAGATTGGGATCACTAGCTCCCATGCCCCGACAGTCGCGTGCGATTCGCACCTTGCTCGCGTCATTCCGCCATGCTGGTGGCCGCGTGTGCGTTTCTGCCTGCGGAAACTTGCGACAGATGCTGGGTGTTTGTCAACAATTTGGTGTGTAAAGAGGCCGTCGTATTTACTGTCATTTACTGTAGTACACTGCAGACCCCTGCAACAGTCGGCCAGAACTGAAAACCCAAGTTTTCGAGAAACAAAAAAACCTCAGGATGTGGTTTCTTGGCGAAGGCGGAGCTCATCTCCAGACAGAGGCCATCTTCGCCGGCGTCCCTCCAACTCTGCAGCACCGGCGCTCCTTAAGGCGGACGCGGACGCCTTATTCTATAACGGTCTGAGAGGCGTGAATATGTCCCCTTATAGTTCCGCTTCGAGTTGGAAAAAATACACCCCAGGCCTCCTTATAGTCTAGTGGTAGTATCACGTCGAAGTACCGTTTCACAGTTTGCGCAAGATACCCAAGATATCCGAAAAAGCTCCTCAAGGCGGACGCCCTATCTCCAGCGAATGGCGGGGGAGCTCCGGGCGGAGGGAAACCTGCGCCGTGTGCTCGCCTTGGGCCTCTTTGTCATAGTTGGGTAGCATTTTAAAATTTGATGGACACTTACAACTTAGTTGGGGAACATTTGAAATTTCTATGGACACTTACTTAACTTAAGCTTAGTATGGGAATAGAAGTTTTCATGTTTAACACTATCCCAGCCAGAACTAGGCCTGGGTGGCGGCCTCTTGCCAGCTGCCTTGGCGAAGTCAGGTCCAAGTTTGCTAGGGGCCTAGGGCGGCATAGGGCTTACCGTGCTTACACCATTGGGGTGATCCGGATGTGAGAGAGAGATAGATAGATGGATAGATAGGTGGTATTGTCGGGACGCCCAGAAAGGGCCCCAATATGAAGAAAGCCTGCAGGTGTGCAGGTGCTAGCCGTCGAGCAGTCCCCATCAGTTCGGGACCTAGCGACGCGCTTCTTCGGCGTCGAGTGCGCGGGCCTGGAAATAGTCATAGAGGATGCCTCGGTGTTCGTGGAGGGAGGAGGGCGCGGTCAGGGCCTCTTCGATGCCTGTGCCGTGGACATCTTTGAGGGCTGCACTTCCTCCACGCCGGCATGTACACGGTCGCCCATCTTCCTCCAGAGCCTCAAAGAGCTGCTGAAGCCAGGAGCCCCTGTTCTGCAAAACGTCATCGACTCCGCCGGCGACTTCCTTCAAACGGAGCGGCGGCACCGGCGCTTCGGCGCCTCCGGAGAGACGGTGCGATGTACCTGCTGGGCCCGGAACGCCGCGCCTCTTGGGCCCTTGCGCCCCGTCACCTATCGAAGACAAACCCAGGAGCTCCAGGAGCTCCTCAGCGCGTATCGAGAGGTCTTTGAGGAAGTGGATGTCTTGAGGCCGGTGTCCTGGGCTCCCGGCCTGCTCCTCCGTGCTCGAAAAACCGCGAGAGAAAGTCTCCGATCCACTCGCCCTCTTCACCTGTATATTGCCTCTCTTCCAGTCTCAGTCAGTCCCCCGCGCGGGTGTTTGTGTCTGTGTCTGTGTGTGTGTGTGTGTGCGTGTGTGTGTGTGTCTTCCAGCTGGCGAGGCTTCGCAGGGTTTTGGTTTTGCGGCATCTGCCTCGTTTATTGTTCCGCGCTATCTTGACTTGCATGAATGCACTGCAAGCCTCTCAACCCTCAGTCCACGGCCTAAGGGGTATATGAGCTCATATACGACTAATACAGGGGCCTCAATAATTCCCAATACTATTTTGGGTGTTCCTTATTATAGTTATAGTTATAGCATTATATACCCCCCCAAAACCCTATTCTAGTTATTGAGGCTCCTACATTATACGAGTTCTGTTTACGTGTCAACCCTTTGACGCGGTAGGTCTTCATCAGCGACGACGAGGGCCTGCTGCAGAAGGACGTTCCTGATGTGGATGGTCGCAGCCTGAACGAGCCCGTCTAATTACTAGGGCTGCTACCCATAGGCCCCTAAGCAGTTCCTTTTTGCGGTTTATATTTCGAATCTTATAAGGTAATCCAAACAAGAACTACTTAGGGACCTGTGGGTACTTCTGATATCTATCACTTGTACCATTATGTCTAGTCTTTTTGACATTTCTGGCCTCAGTTTTTTGGCACGTGATGACCTGTTTGGTGTGATGTTCACGTCTGTTTTGAGTACCATGATTACTTGCGTTGACGACAATCTTATATGGTCTCTGTAACGGTTATTTAATCATCGCTGCTGCTATCATCCGGTCTCTTGGGATCCAGGATTTGGGACTGTAGCGAATCCGATGTTCTTCATAGCCAGATCCCTTGCAGAACTCTTCTTTTTTACGCCTTCTGACGCCCCGTCAACAACCCCTTGTGAAGCCTCCTGGGGCCTCCTTGGAAACCCTGCTGAGCCTATCGCGTCTGAAACCCTCCTGACATGGAAGACTCGGGGTTTCATCGGCTTGGAGTGTCGTGGGTTTCGTACTGTGTCCCATGAGGCTTCATGAGGTTTCATGCAGGGTGTTGCAAAAGGTAGGTTTAAGGCGCAGGTTTTAAGGGTTGAGCCCTGTCGGTGTTCTGAAGTCCCAAGCTTCATGTGTGCTTCGATTCCCGGGTGTGGGGGATGTCTGTAAGCATGAGTCGGTCTGAGGCCCCGGTGCCCAATAGAGCTTGAATGGCTAGGGGAATCCGGGAGATGCTAGGAGGACCTAATTTCTGCAAAGCAGGGAGATGATCGAGGCAGTCCTCGCAGCAGCCATGGCAGCCACAGCAGAAGAATTCAGCTAGAGTCTGATGGCGTGCTCGAAGGAACCATGGCAGGAGTGACATGTGGGAGTTTCCGCAAACTAGGGTACCTTATTTTGGGGTCCTTATAATAAGGATCCTACTATTTAGGGTACTATATAACCCCCATGTGGCGTCAGGGCTCAGAAGCAGCAAGGGCAGCAGCAACGGGTGACACACTTCCTAGTGCCTGAACCTTAGACTTCTTTGGGGTGTTGGGCTTTTTTGGGGCCTTTAGGGGTTCAGGCTTTAGGGTTTAGGGCTTAGGGTTTTGGGGTGTTGGGCCCTTTAGGGGGTCAGGCTTTAGGGTGTAGGGTCAGGGCTCAGGTTTGATGTCAAGCTCCATGGAGACCTTGCCATGTGAATTCCCAGGGAAGCTGCGCGAGTGTGCCACCGGTTTCGGCACCTGGATGGGGTGACAACGATGCAGGGGCCCAAGCCGTGAGCTGCAACTGAAGAGGTCTTCGGGTTCGATATGCTTAGCCACATCATCAGAACGGGCGAATGGAGTACGTACCTTATATGGCATAACAATAAGGTTAACCATTATAGAACCATCATTAGACCCATCATTTCTTTATAGTATATGAATGGCATATACAACCGTGACTGGGAGCCCTAAGGTTTAGGGGTTTGCTTCAAGGCCGGTGCCCGACGTCTGGGGCTGAAGCACTGCAGGTCATGGTCCATGAAAGCCGCCCCCCCCAAAAGCGGGTTTAGGGTTTAGGGTTTGTGCCCAAAAAGCGGGTGAGGGGTGGTTTGGTTGAACTAGTTGGTTCAGGGTCGGCTGACGGAGAACTCTTGAAAAACTTGCTTCTGCTGATAAGCCCTAAGCACTGGTTGCGGAGAGCAGATTTTTCGAAGCCGAGGGCATGTTGAATGAGTAGTCTCGACACTCCTACTTCAGCTGGTTAAGAGCGGGTCTTCAGTGCCCTCTTTCTTGAGTGCGAAGTTTGCGTGGCATCCTGAAGCTTCAGTTTACTGTTGATGCTATAGGTCGTCGTCTTACAGCGGCTTCACATAGATAGCTGCGATTCTTGTGCCGCCATCTCTACTTCTTTGGCCATCGCTACTGTTACCACTTTTTTGTACTACCATTGCAACTTGTTTTTTGTCTCTGCTCTCGTACTGCCGTGGCGACGACCCACTGTGCTGACGACGATGTGGTTTGGACATGGTTTACCACCAAGGTGTGGGCAACGCCTACACCCTGTGCCAAACTTCGATTGCATTGTACTTCGGTGCCGCCCCGTCCTGTGGTGTTGCACTGAGGGCGGAAACAGCGCAACAGCCGCAAATTGCCGACATCACATCTTCCAGCTGGCATTTGATCCAGTGCCTTCATGAAACTGACGTCCTTCTTTAACGCCTGAGCCCCAAAGACCCCAAATCACTCAAAGCTCCTTGCCCCCTGAGGATCGGAATCATAGAGGCCCCTGGAGCCAAATCCCTGAACTGGCTTAGGGCTTAAGGGCTTAAGGGGTTTAGGGGTTTAGGGTTTCAGGGTTTAGGGTTTAGGGGCCCTAAGCCCATCTCCCAAAGTGCCGAAAGATTGCTGCCTGGGCGATGCCAGAACGCGACAGAGAGGGGGGCTTTCCTCCTCCAAGAGTCGGGTCCCAGAAACCACGGTGGTATGATACGAGGGGTTTAGGGCCAGGGCCTGTTTAGGATTTAGGGCCTAGGGGTTTAAGCAGTTGGGGCTCAGGAGATGTTGGGGCCTCGGGTCGCAGGTTTTTGGTCTGAGTTTCGAGTGTATGGTTGAGGGTTTTCTGCTCGATGCTCTTTCAAGGGGGACCTTGCTTTTGGAGAAGCCCCTGCAAAGTGCACATCATGACTTCACAGCTGTCCCCGAGCTGGGGTGACATAGTGTACAGCGACAGCTGCGGCGGATCACTTCGGTACCTTACAAAGTCCTCTTGCTTAGGGTTTAGGGCCTCTTGGAGTGCAGATACCGGGCATGTACAAGGCGACTTGGCGTCAGTCCTCGCCACTGCGATTCTATCAGCTGTTTACACTGTTAGTTTTTTGCTTTCTGTCAGGGTCTCTGCAAGCTTCCCATCAGGGATGTGGGAGGCTTCGCAAAACGTGGACAATTGCGACACTGAGGATATACAGTCGCCGTCACAACAAAAGCAGGTTTTCGTGAAGTTCACCAGCAGTTCGAGTGGTTGTCGCATTGGCAGGTATGATACAGTTACAGTTTGAATGGCCTAGATGACCAAAGTGGGAGTCGCACCGCGCGAAATATCAATATACAATCGTTTGCGCTATCGTTCTCTCCGTTGTCATGCATTCAACTCCACTTCTGGTAAGAGCCACAGAAGCATGAATAGTTTGTGTAGTCGGTGGTATCTCCAGTCAAACCCGAAACGGTCTCGGCAGTGGTGGTGGTGCTAGTACTACCAAGACGACGACGACCGCGCTTCTTCTACTAGTGCTAGTGATAGTACAAGTGCTGGTGCTCGTCGTCGTAAAAGTATTACTGGTACTAGTACTACTACTAGTACTAGTACTCTCTACTACTACTGCTACTGCTACTGCTACCGCTACTGCTACCACTACTACTACTACTACTACTACTACTACTCCTACTGCTACGGCTACGGCTGCGGCTGCGGCTGCGGCTACGGCTAGGGCTACTGCTACTGCTACTGCTACTGCTACTGCTACTGCTACTGCTACTGCTACTGCTGCTGCTGCTGCTGCTGCTACTGCTACTGCTACTCCTACAACAACAACAACAACAACTACTACTACTACTACTCCTACTCCTACTACTGCTACTACTACTACTACTACTACCACTACTACTCCTACTACGCCTACTCCTACTCCTACTACTACTACTACTACTACCACCACCACCACCACTGCTGCCGCTGTCCAGCGCTGCTTGAACCATTAGTTGCTAGTTACCCAACTGAGACCAACATTCGCAATAGGTGACAAGAGACACTAAAAGAAACTCAGCCACTTCTTGAGAGTCGTGGATCTATAATGAAGATGGGGTTCCTTTTTGTGGCAGGCCCCTAAGAGTCCAAAGCCAGCTCGTTCTGAAATCAGACCCCGATAGAGTTTGGAGCCACAAGCGAGAACCCCAAGCCCTACTAGTACTTGGTGGTTCATGATTTTTCTCCGTAAGGGTAGAAGTAGGATAACTTTGGCTACAACACATATTATCGGACTTATAACCCCCCCCAACACCTACTCATGAGAGCCTCGCCAAGAAGTTCAAGCTTCAGCCCTGACGCCTTAAATCCTGGCAATAAGTTGGATATCGGGGTCTTCCCAATGGCACAGTCTCGGAGCCATGGCCAGCGATCTGCAACCGAACCCGGCCGGTTGCCAGAGCTTTGAATCCAACGTCTTCAGGCGGAGGGTTTGCTTAGTGCTTGGGGTTCGGGTGTAAAATAGGTGCCTGCATAGGTCATCGTAGTAGTCGTACTGGTAGTAGTGATCGTAGGAGAAGAAAGGGAGTAGTAGTACCAACGACACCACCGAAACCCCAAATCCGTTCCCGTTGCAATTGCTAAGATCGAGCTTGAGCACAGACACTATCAGACATTTGTCAATACCCCTTAATTAAGGAATATACCTTAAATCATATTAGGGATCCTACTATAATTTAAGGTATATTCCGTAATGGATATTGGAGTGAAGTCAAAAAGTTCAAGGAGGCTGCTCACGTCGAAACGAAGGGTTCAGGGCTTAGACAGTTGAGGGTTTAGGGTTTAGGGTTTTTTAGCCCGTGCTGAAAAAAAAAAAGGGTTTAGGGTTTAGACAGTGCTGCTTCCCAGCTGATTGGCAGAGTCTGGGTTCAAGAAAAAAAGGGTTTAGACATCAACCGGCGTACACGCCCGCAGCCCGAGACTA